CTTTGAACGCATCCTAAATTGATTTTATTAAATACGGAAATCTAAATTTGGCAAAAGTAAAACTTCAATTAGTATTAAGTAACACTGATCACATGCTGACCAAATGCGGTCATGTCACATGGGTACCGAAAAAGTTAACAAGTTGCAGAATTGTCATGGAAACAATAGAGTCATTAAGGCGAAGCCGAGCAAAATAGTCCTGGTCGCAGAAGGGAACTTTTTTCTCTCCAGCAACATTAATCGCAGTGGCGGATTTAAGGGGGGCGCACCCGGCGCGCCCCCCCCCCCTAAAATTGTCAAAGTTAGCGTAAATCGAATATGTCTACTTGGTAGACCTCATTTTCACCCTTCAAAATCTCTAGAATCAAGGAGCTTCCGGGGGCTTCGCCCCCTGGGCCCCCACCAGGGCTTTGGTAGACCTAATTTTCACCCTTCAAAATCATTAGAATCCAGGAGCTTCCGGGGATTTCGCCCCCTGGGCCCTCACCAGGGCTTTGGTAGACCTCATTTTCACCCTTCAAAATCTCTAGAATCCTCAAGGCGGCCCCCAGACTCCTTGCCTAATTTTGGCGCCCCCCTAACTCCAAATCCTGGATCCGCGCCTGAATCGTGTCTCTTTTTAACTATAATTACAGCATTTAAAACCTTGGTACAATGCAACATCACAAAACCTTCAATAGCACATTCCATGCATCTTGATTAATATATAGGACATAGAAGTACTAAACAAATCTGCTCTAATATGTTCTACAAGGAAGAGTGACCTAAGCTTGTAATGCATTGGCTCCAATAGCTTTGCTTAGGTGAACTACACATTGGTTGCTTAATGTCAAATTTTTAAACAAGCTTTGATTGACAATATTCATTTATCATGATCATTTGAAAATTTGATTAACCACCTTATACTGAGCATATTTTAAGACATTGTCATAAATTCATGTTCCACTTTTGTACAATCTTTGAAACCTTGATTTACTATCATAAAATTTTTTTCTCTTACCATCTCAAATTTACTTTAAAGAATTATTTCCTTTCTATTGCTACAATGTTTGAAGTAGACCATATGTATAAACATGTAAGTTTTAATAATACATGTATTGGTAATTTTACAAAATGTTGTATTAGAAGAGGACTATATTTTATTTACTGAACTTGTATGATCATTTTGACTTTGTCAATTAAACCTGTTTAATTCAATTCAAAAACTTCATAATTTATAAAGATGATACACAGTTTTATTTTGGAGGAGAGTTAAATTCTATATCACATGTTTAGAAAAGTAGAGAATTAAATTCAGCTCCTTAGACTTGGAAAATAAAATGGACTAAAAAAATATTAGTTAATATTATAATAAAACAACAAATATGAACAAATCACACTCAGGATTAAGAAGAAAAAAAATTAAATTATGTTGTTTTGGTGTTATATAAAAGTGTAAGATAAACTTTAAAACATATATATATATATATATATATATATATATATATATATATATATATATATATATATATATATATATATATATATATATATATATATATATATATATATATATATATATATATATACAATGCAAAGTAAAAGATTAGGCAGAAAGCGCTAACAGTAAAAATGATTTTTCGAGATTTGTGATTTCTATACTTTTTTTCATTGGATATATATATATATATATATATATATATATATATATATATATATATATATATATATATATATATATATATATATATATATATATATATATATATATACGAAAAACAAAATACATGCAGTCAAAATCTTCTTAGGTGATTTTTCTGATCTTAACGAGGCTAGGGGGTGGCAGCCATTTTTTAAATATTTCAATCTTCTTTAAAAGGAGAGCTCCATATAACAGGTCGAGGAAACTATTTTCTGTGACGTCGGAATAAATTTACATGTTAAGTGAGGAACCAACGTGACTGACAAATCGACCAATCAGCTCAATGAGTTGCATTATGGTCTACTACAAAAGCACTACACGTGTGTTTCTTAAACGCCAATTTTTTAAATCGCTCTTGGAAAAACGTGATGTATTTTTCCAAGCATTTTACACACTTAATACAACAAGCATTCTGAGAGTATTGCATAAGCAATACATGTCCCCTACCGGGCTCCCTTTTTTTCTTCAGGATGTCATTTTATATTATGCAAAAGTCATGTCCAACTGAAGGTAAAACTGAAAGAGTTTGAAATTGTAAATGCCTTAAAACTAATAAAATAATCCACATTAAGATGAAAATTCAACTCATTTCCCCACCGTCCTTTCCTCGCTTCATATTTTTGTTGACAATCGGAAGTTAGCGCAGTTCGAACTCGATCTCAATAAAGCGATTATGAAAAATATTCAAAATGCCATAATTCTGACAAAAATCAATGAAGCGAGGCGAAATTCAAACTTGATCTGTAACTCATTATGATACACTCACATACCAAATTCAGCTCAATATCTGCAATTGTTTAGAAAAAAAGTGTGGAAAACCAAGTGGGACAGACTGACAGGGACAGACAGACGGACGGACAGACAGACGGACGGACAGACAGACAGACGGACGGACGGACGGACGGACGGACGCAGAGGAAACCTATAGTTGTTTGCTGTGAGCACCTCTGTGCGCAATCGCAACAATATCCATATAAGATAGTTTCCTCGACCTGTATAAAGATATAGAAATGATCAAATTTTTAAAACTAAAATATATGAATTTTTTCTTTGTCAAATGATAGTTGACAGCTAAAGATACATGTACCGTATGAAAAAAAAAATAATTTAAATCTGGTGGTTAATTTGGGATTAATTTGTTGACCCTCCAGCCTCCTTAACATTTTTTTGCGCTTCCTCGTGAAATTGACCTTGCTTGGTATATTTTATTGTAATATTTATATTACACTTAGAGCACTAACCTAACATATTCTGATATTTGTTTTCATCTGTAAACTTTTACTGAGTGTGACTTGTCCATATTTAATATTTTATTAAAGTACATGTAGTAACTAATATTCGTTTTTTTCTGATCCGAAGGTGAGGTTTGACTTTATTTTAATAAACAAGGCTTCCTGCCTTGAAAAGATTTTTTTTGCTAGCTCCATGATTTCAATTTCTACCCCAAACGTGTACATTATATTTACAGAACGTTTTGTCCAAAAAATGCATTTTAATTATGTTTAATTATCTTTTTTAGCAAGTGATTTAATTCAACACTTGATTCAATTGCAACGTACAAGCATAAAATCATACCGAGTTCATAAAATATTGTCTTTTTTGCAAATATGAAGACGAATGGAAATATATAAAACTTTTTTTTTGACTATGGCTTAAAATGGTTACCAAAACATCACAATCTTATAAAAATTAGATGTTAGATCCGCTCGCATACTCGTTACACGAACATCTAACATCCCATTGAGGGTCACGTCAGAGGTCAAATTCTATCTACCAATCAAGTTTTAGCCTGGAAAATCAATATATATTGTTGAAACAAATAAATCTAGAGCTGTTCCGAATTTAACCTCTGATGTGACCCTTTATGGGTTGTCAGAATGCAGTGTAGCGAGTGGATCTAACATCTAATTTTAATTAGATTGCAAAATATCAGTATCTGTTATTGATTTCCTTCATTTAAACTATCTGTTTCCAAGACGCTTCACCATGACAAGTCTTTATAATTGACATGTTTCACCCGTGTGTTTTACCATGTGCATCTGTAAGGTATGATAATAATATGTCTTCCCACACACTTCACATATAGTAAGGTGCAAAAAAATCCTGGATTTTTCTATGCATATTTTTCACATGCATATTTATTTAAATATATAATTTTTAAATTTTATTTTCATATTTAAAAATAAAAGAACTACTTTTAGAGTTATTTTCATTGTTCTCATATGACGTCACGTGACGATGCTTTTAGCAGACAACATATTTTCGTATTACAGTGATGTCAGAAATTGACAACAGAGAACGTCTCCTAAATTCATAAGAAAGCGGAATCACTTTGGCGAAAATTTTGTGAAATAACAAACATACCTAGGTCAATTGTGTATGATAATTTTAAAAAAATTCCTGAAGGGAAGTCCGAGACACGGTGTCAAGGATCTGGTCGAAAGAAAATTTTTGACGTGAATCACAGCAGACGTGCTGAAACCATCATTTACCAACTGAAATTGCAAGACAAGATAGAATTTGCCACCATTGTAATCTAAAAGAACTCGGAGATGAGTTTCATTACATTTTAAAGCGCAACTCGCTACAAACAGAAAGAAAACTTTGCTTAACAGAAAAACACATAAAATTCCAGAATAAAATTAGTTTTAAAAACATTATGAACAACAAAAAATACTGCTTTCCAAGAAAATAATGCTCCTTTGTAAAGAAAATAAATAAAATATGCTCCCGGCCTAATTATTGTTACAATACTTTGACAAACGATCTACTACAAAAGGACAACACTAGACCGCACACTGCAAGGTATACCCGTGACTGGTTTACACAGAATCACGTAGTGGACTGGCCTGCTGCGTCACCGGATTTAAATCCGATAGAAAATGTTGGGCAGATCATGAAATATCGTGTGGAAAAAAATCAGCCAGAAAATATCACAGACCTGAAAGTTACAATTATGGGAACATGGATGGGTTTGGATCAGAACTATATATATAGACAGTCTGGTAGAAAGTATGCAAAAGCGCATCGCTCAGTGTATAGTGAGACACGGGGTCTGACTGACTGTTAAGTTTATGCATTGTAAATCCATTGCTTCTATATTCATTATTTTGCTTCCACTTGAAAATGTTGCAAAAAATAAAAAAAATACTCTAGTTGAAATCCATATTTTTTTGCACTTTAAGTTGTAAAGATTTTAGCATAGCAAGTATGCGAGCAGATCTAACATCTAATTTTAATTAAACTGCAAAACATCAGTATCTGTTTTGAATTTTTCATTTTATCCGTTTACAAAACACTTCACTATGACAAGCCTTGATTATTGACATATTTCACCCGTATGTTTCATCATGTGCTTCTTTAAGGTTTGATAATAGTAATATGTTTTCCCACACACTTCACATATATACGATTTATCCCCCCTGTGAATCATCATGTGATTCTTTAAGGCACTCGAATCACCAAAAGTCTTCCAACACTGATCACATTTATACGGTTTATCATCAGTATGTACACTCATGTGTCTTCGTAATTCTCCTGGATAAATGAAAGCTTTTCCACATACATCACATCTATGAGGTCTGTCATCTTTATGCCTCCTCATATGTGTTTTTAAAAGTTTTGAATTCCCGAATGTCTTTAAACACACATCGCATTGAAAAACTTCGTCACTTGTATGTATCAACAAATGATCCTTAAGTTGGTCTCGGGCACGATAACCCTTTCCACAAATCTCACATTTGTAAGGTTTTTCACCTGTATGTAGCCTCTTGTGGATTGTTAAGTGCCCTGAGTGACTAAATGACCTTCTACACACCTCACAGGTATAAGGTTTATCACCTGTGTGTATCCTCATGTGGACTTTCAAGATGCATGGCTGTCTGAATGCCTTTCCACACACATCACATTTATAAGGTCTCTCACCTGTATGTATCATAAGGTGGGCCTTTAAGGTGCTTGTATCAGGAAACGACTTTCCACAAGTTTCACATTTATGAGGTCTTCTTACCTTACCGGTATGTCTATCCCTGTGATTTCTTAAAACTGCGAATTCTATGAAAGCTTTTCCACATACATCACACTTATAAGGTTTATAACCTGTGTGTATCCTTATATGTACCTTCAAGTTATAGTATCGTGGGAAGGGTTTTTCACACAAATCGCATTTATAACGTATATTACCAGTGTGTGTCCTCGTGTTTTTCTGTAAGGTGCCTGATTGGTTGAAAGTCTTTTCACAATCATCACAAATACCAGGTTCATCGTCAGTTTGTGTCCACGGGTAGCCTTTTATTTCTACTAATGCAGAGAAGGTCTTCCCACATAAATCACACTTTAAAATTTTAGCTCTGGCCTGTGTCCCAACGTGTCTCTTTGAGTGATCTAAACGAGTTGAACTACTTGAAGCTTCCATACTGTTTAATTTATGAGGTTTATTACTCACATGTGTGTGGATTTGTCTTTTTACATGTACACTCCCTGTTTGATTTCGATCTGAATAAAAGTCCATTAAATTCTCACCATCTTCTTGAATATTTGAATTGGTTTGGAACACTGTGTTTTCTTTCTGCAATAGTGATAAGAAAATAGCTTTCAATTGAGGCATATTTCATGATACACGCTGGTGCCTCATGATAAGTAAGTCTACTTGCAAGTCAACGTGATTCAAACACCAATAATTCACACTTAACTGAAAAACATTCCTTATGGTTAATGGTTTGTAGAGGGGGAAACAAGTTCCCATTCCTTTTCCACAACTGTTTTTTAATAGCAAAACAATCATGGGCGAGATCATTAATTTTTTTAACCAGATTTTCCGATATTTTAAAAAAGTTGAAACACAGTAGAGGCATAATCACAAATACATGCAGTTTAAAAGATTGTAAAATAACTAATGCATTGTGTCCGAGAACATGTAAAATAATTTTTGAAAAGAATTTCACAAACATTTCGAAAATTATCTTTGTCCTTATTCTACTGGAAATCAAGTATGAATTGGATATCGCATGTCGAATTTTTTTGACGTTATTTAAGGAATGACTCTAATTCTTGGCCAAATTATTCGATTTTAACCTGGTTTGGGTCAGTTTACGCTTTATAATCCGCGAAGTGGATTATAAAAAACGCAGTACTGTTAAGGCTACCCGGAGCTTATTATGCATTTAAAAAGTAACACTCTTTTGCAACGTTGATTTTTAGTTTTATTTTTAAGTTATGTACTTCAGTGAGCCCAATTCATACAGAGGATCCCAAAGGCTATATATAAACATATTTGTTACGATGTCACATGACCTTGTTGATCACGTGACGGTCATTTCTTCTTTTTTGAAATGTTTAACATAAATCGTTTCGGCGCAGGTTGTTAGCACAATTATTATTTACATTTGTCACATAAATAAACTCGTTGCATCCTTGTGAAACCGAAATGTGCTTGGGAAAAGTTATACTATTTCTTTGGAACAATTTATTTCAGATTAACTTCAACTTACCGGCAAATCTGAGGGTATTTTCCATCGAATATCGTCAACTGTTTTAAAACAAAGCCACCATACATATTTCCCAAGCAAGATTCAGTTAGAGTGGAAACTCTTTTACATAATAAAAGATGTTAAATAAATCCTCATAAACAACCTGCGCCAGGCTCTTTTACACACATATTTTGAATTGTGCCTTTGTCCACGGGTATAAAAAAGGGTAAATGTCATACGTATATTTACATACGGGTTTGAACACGCATGACTCTTAAACAAGAGTAACAAAGCCAGGTTATCTATATTATTCGGATATATTACAGTTACAAAAGTGATAAAAACACGTTTATTTTAAACTAGAATTCTGCAACTTTATATGCAGATTGAAATAAAGGTGTGAAGTTTATGACATTCTCCCCATTATTACAGCTCAAGTATGCAGTGACTTGACGTCATTTTCAATTATGACGTCATACATTTGTAGTTCAGAGAAGTTCATGCACAGAGTACAAATACAATATTCTCTGGGAAGCCTTATCGTACCTGCGAAGCGTAAACTGACCCAAACCAGGTTATAATCGAATAATTTGGCCAAGAATTATAGTCATTCCTTATAATTTAATTTTTAAATAATCAAAAAACTGTGGATGTAAAATTGTGCTGCTTTTTATGAGTTCAAATTTGCCGCTCAATAATACATCCCTAGTAACGGAAGTGATTTGAAACAAGGGGACGTAATAATTGAAAGACAGATCTTTCAGCCATGATGTTTGTTAACATGAGGTAAGAGCGAGCTACTGTTTGAAGTTAAAAGTACATTTATGAAATGTAGAATTTTCCATGTAATTCCATGGACTGGAAATGTGGGATTGCATAGATACAAATGAATCAGCTGGTTGTCAAGGGGTGTGTCCCCATACCAAACCAGGTTATTACGTTTTATTCTTGTGTTCCTTTTTGGAAATCAACCAATGAGAAACTAGAATAAAATCAAAATTAAATTATATAGTTACAGTGCTGATAACATGACGTCACAGACTCGAGATTCCTTGAACGCTCAACCCATTGAACACTGATTAATTAAAACTACTAATAAATATTTATGAGGGAGTAGTCCCAGAGAGTAGCTCTGATTTTCCAGGAAGTAGTCCTCAGATGAGGGAAATAGTCTCTACTTGGAGAAATTTTATGTAGAGTAATTACAGTAGAGGTATAATAAATCGTTTTACTTTAACTATAGTCTCATTGTGACGTCACATTTACACGATTCTCCGTGTACATTTCTACGCTTGAGTATGCACAAAAATGGAATTCAAATCCAATTCACAGCTGGCTTACTAGAAAACTAACAGCAAATGTAAATTATCCTTCTTGAGGTATTTCTTTGAGTAAAGTAAATGCAACAAGAGGCCCATGGGCCACATTGCTCACCTGTACACATCAGCTTTAGGAAAAAGCACAAATTAGCTCAGTATTCTGAAATTTACTGAAAGGGGGAGGGGGGCTTGAATTGTATACTACTTGAGGAATAAAATCAACATAACATAGATTTTTCCTGAACTTTAGAAAGATAATTTGTAAGAAAAATAGGGTCATGATTGGAAAAAAAATAAATCTTCAATGCATGAATTATCTCCCCTTGGAAGAAGGTCTGGTCCTTCATTTGAACAAATAAACCTCCTTCACCTAAGAATACTCTGTGGTAATTTTGGTGGAAATGGGCCCTGTAATTTTTTAAGAGATTATGAAAGTGTGCAAACGACAATGACGCAAACAACAGCGACAGGGACAGACAATTGACAAATTTTGATTAGAACAAGAAACCCATGGGCCTATAGGTCACCTGAGCATCATGCAACAACTTTCCGATGATTAAGTTTGGTTTATGTTTTTAAACTAGACACCATGGCAATTAAAATTTTGAACAAGGAATCATTACTCATCATATCTATACACTTAGATTTAGCACAATTTCACTATAAGCAGTAGAGCCCCGTCCTATCACAAGAACCCTTGACTCTGGGGCCATAAAATTCACAATTTTGTAAGAGGCATTTTTGCCCATCATAACTATGTACTTAGTTAGTTTATCTAATACCCAGGAGCAGAGAAGATTTTCAGAGAATTAATGTATTTTCAATGTCAAAATTCAATTTTCAATAATCAATAGAGCCTCATCCTAACACCAGAACCCTGGCCCTGGGGTCATAAACTTCATAATTTTGAAAGCGATATTCTTGCTTATCATAACTATGTGCTTAGTAAGTTTATTTAATAACCAGAAGCAGAGAAGAAGATTTTCAAAGAATTAATGTATTTTCAACCTAGGTCTGTATTTTCAACATGTTTTCAATACATAATCAATAGAGACCCACCCTAATACCAGAATCTCTGATCCTTAAGCCATAAAATTCACAATTTTGGAAGAGGAAATCTTGCTTATCATAACTTTGTACTTAGTAAGTTTATTTAATACCCAGGAGCAGTGAAGAAGATTTTCAAAGAGATAATGCACTTTTACTATACGATCTATATAGCCCCACCTTAACCTAAGAACCCCTGACTCTGGGGCCATGAATTTTACAATTTTGGTAGAGGACTCAATGCTGATTATCATCATGCCAACAGTTTGACTGCTTGATGTCAAGGAGTAAAGAAGCCTTTTAAAGATTGTATTAATTTTGGTGGTTTTGGCCCCACCCCTCTGGCCCCTGGGGGAAGGGGTCAGGAATTTAACAATTTTTGTTCCCATTCACCCATAGATGCTGTATACCAAATTTGGTTGAAATCGTTCCAGAGAAGAAGCTGAAAATGTTCAAAAGTTTATGACTGATTGAGACGAACGACGTACGAAGACGGAGGAAAACAGAGAGTAATAGGTCACCTGAGTGACTCAGCTGACCTAAAAACTCACTTGAGCCTTTGGTTCAGGTGAACAATCAAACATACAATTTAATTCTAGGAATCAATAACATAAAAAGTGTTAAATTCAACCAAAAACATTAAAGGTGATAAAAAAGAATTTAAAAATAAAATTTAGCAGTATTTTGAAATTTATTTATTTAATTTATTCACTTCTCATAATAAATAAATAATCTTATTAGTATCAACAATCAAATTTTACCAAATATATCAATAATATTGTACAGGTTTTGGACATCAATGGAAAAAATATTACAGTTAAAGTTTACATGTTATATATTTCATATGCTTGAGTTACTTCCCTTATACAGCATGTGCTACTATATATATATATATATAGTAATTTGGTGGGAAATGCTATTTTTAGATACTATATACCCATAACTTTCAAATGAGTATATGACTATGTGGGGTGTTTACCTTTCCATGCATCATTTTTGGTTAATTATACGTTTGATTTGATTTGAACATCATTTTGTTATGTAATGAATACATAAAGGGATTGGGCAGCAGACATACCGTACATAAGCTTTCTTGATTTATACAATATCAAAGGTAATTCCTTTTCAAAGGTTTTTTAACTTCAGAAAATACAGAAAATATGCATAATCTTTCTCTGTCAATATATTGTCTGATGAACCTGATTTCGGGAAACTTTAAATTGACATACGTATCACTGTTGCGTATTTCAATGTCGTTCTGAAATAATTTATTCCATCCTTTATATTTTCTACACTATATAATGTGTATATGATATCACCTGCATGTGTCTTCATGTATTTCTTTTATCTATATGATCCACTGAATGCATATCCACACACATCACATTTGTAAGGTTTTCAACTGTATCAACTGTTATATGGTCCTTTCAAATATAAATAATGTTAACATCCCATTTTAATATAAGGTTTATGACCTATATGTCTCCCCATGTAATTCTGTACATATAAGGCCTTGGACCTCTTGAATGCCTTCCAACACTTCACATTCATAAGGTTTTTAACCAGTTTGTGTTTTTATGTCCTGCCCAGTTCACTGCCTTTCCACATAGATCACATTAATGAGGTTTATAAAGTTATCACCAGTATGTGTTCTCCTCAAACTTGTGTTCTTGTAAATTGTCTAATCGGAGAAACGCCTTTTCACAGGCTTAACATAGGGCCTTTTACCAGTATGTGTCTTCATGTGGCTCTTTAAGTATTGTTTCTGGGTGAATGCCTTCCCACACACATCACATTTGAAAGGTTTCTCACCAGTATGTGTCCTCATGTGTTTCTGTAAGTAGTGTGACTGGCTGAATGCCTTCTGACATACATCACATTTGAAAGGTTTATCCCCAGTATGTGTCCTCATGTGATTCTGTAAGTGTTGTATCTGGGTGAATGACTTCTGACATACATCACATTTGAAAGGCTTATCACCAGTATGTGTTCTCATATGAATCTGTAAGTTTGGTGACTGGATAAATGCCTTCTGACATATATCACATTTAAAAGGTTTATCACCTGTATGAGTCCTCATGTGACTCTGCAAGCATTGTGACTGGGTGAATGCCTTCTCACACACATCACATTTGAAAGGCTTATCACCAGTATGTGTCCTCATGTGACTCTGTAAATGTTGTGTCTGTGTGAATGCCTTCTGACATACATCACATTTGAAAGGTTTATCACCAGTATGTATCCTCTTGTGTCGCTTTAAGTCAGGTGACCGACTGAAAGCCTTTCCACATACATCACATTTATAAGGTTTATCACCTGTATGTGTCATAAGATGGGCCTTTAAGTTGTTTGATTCAGAAAATGACTTTCCACAGATATCGCATTGATGAGGCTTATTTCCCGTATGTGTATTCATGTGCCTCTTTAAAACTGTAAATACCATAAAAGTTTTTCCACACACACCACATTTGTAAGGTTCATAACCTGTGTGTATCCTTATATGTATCTTCAAAGTATAAAATCGTTCGAAGGGTTTTTCACACACATCACATTTATAGCGTTTATTACCAGTATGTGTCCTTTTATTATTGTGCAAGGTGCCTGATTGGTTGAATGTCTTTTCACAATCATCACAGATATCAGGTTCTTCACCAGTTTTTGTCAGACACAGAGATACAGAGAAAGCCTTCCCACAAAATTCACATTTCGAAATTTTATCCCCGTTCTGTGACCCAGTTTGCCTTTGTAATTGATCTGTGTGAGGGAAATCTTTCTTACTGTTAAATAAACCAGGCTTAGAACTTACACTTGCCTTGATTTTTCTTCATCTCTTGTCTCATTTTCCTCTGAACAGCAGTTCTTCAAATTTTCAGTATTTCTCTGATTGGATTCAAACTGCCCCTTTTCCTTCTGCAACATTAACCAAAAATCATTTTTAATGCTCAACACGGCACTATTTTCACTGTAGGATAACTAACACACAAAGACTAAATTATACATGCATTCAGGATTTTTTTTTTTTTATTTCAAAAACTTGGTTGAAATGGTTGAAATTCATGGCCAAGAGGCTTGAATGTTACATTACTTGAAGATTCATATCAATATAACATAAAACTTTCCTGTTCTTTAGAAAGATTCTGTAAAAAAAAATCCCCATTGGGGACCCCTCTCTACCGGGTAGTTACCAAGGGATCATGATTGGAACAAATTAAATATTAAATACATGAATTATTATCTCCTCTTAGAACAAGGTCTGTTCCTTCAATTGAACAGTTGAATCCCCTTCATGTAGGGATAATCTGTGGAAAATTTGGTTGAAATGGGCCCTGTAGTTTTCAAGGAGAATATGAAAATGTGCACACGACAATGACGCAAACAAATATGACAGTGACAGACAAAAGGACACGTTTGATTCAGTTGAGCTTTAGAAAAATAACAATCCAACATACATTTTATTTTGGGAATCAATCACATAAAAATAAGAGGTATAAAAATCAAAGTACTCCGAAGTACAGAGAGCCGGGCTCATTTAACAGAGTAGAATGAACTTCTTACATGAATCACACTTATATTCTGATGAATTTATTTTTAAAACTATCAATATAAATGATAAGACACTGACAGTGAGTTTTTCAATCCTAATACCACGGTCCGATTTTGTCAGAATCAGAATTAATCTGGTACCGCAGCTGAATGTAAACAAACAGGCCAGTCTGGTTCCCTTTCCTGCTTTACCTCGTATGTGTAGAGAACTACCGTAACACTGATTATCAAAAATCTTCACGCTAATGAACTATGTTCTTTGACTTATGAAGTTTTCAAAGTCATTACTACTAATATTTATTTTAAATAGATAAAACTTCGTTTTATTTTTGTTGCTTTATTTGGCATTTGTATTATCTCAAAAGCGGTTGACAGTAAGACCTATATTTTTGCACATAACTTTGAAATGGCGTTAAAAGGGTTAACATGACCTGCCTTGAACAGGATCACATAAGCAAGCAATTGCTCTTTGAGCAATAAGCCCGGCTAATAAATTAAAATTCAGCATTCAGAAATACTTGTATTTTATTTATTCATTTCTTCATTTATGTTAATAAGTAACATCAATCAAATTAACCAAGTATCTCAATTATATTGTACAGATTTTGGACATCACCAGAAAAATATCAAGTTTTCTTGAATTATATTTCAAATGGTGGAGTTACTTCCTTTAAACATATAGTAATTTAACTGATCAAATTGACCCGATGAGTATATGGGATGTATACCTTACCATGGTTAATTTTTTTTAATTGTACATTTGATACCATATTAACAAGAGATGTTTTTAAAACACTTATGCCCCCCTCCCCAACAAATTCGAATTTTTCTAAGTCCAAGGGGCATAGCTGTCAAAAATGGTGTGATCAAACCCAAAACAGAACTTGGCCTGGATATTTATCTGACTAATTTGTATCCTAAATTCAATTTCAATATGTGCAACCTCTCCAAATAAAATGAATGGAAACTGCAACAAACTGGAGTTTTTGTAAGTCCAAGGGGTATAACTCTGTCAATTATGATGCGATCATACCCAAAACATAACTTGATATTCATCTGAATAATCTGTATACTAAATTCCTTTTCAATATGTGCAACCTCTTCAAAGAAAACGAATGGAAATTGCAAATAATTGGAACTTTGTAAGTCTAAGGGACATAACTCTGTCAAAAACGGTGCGATCATACAAAAAACAGAGCTTAATCTAGATATTCATCTGCTATACTTGTATACCAAATTTCATTTTAGTATGTGCAATGGTTGTAAAGAATTTGAATTTTTCGAAGTTCAAGGGGCATAACACTGTAAATTATGGTGCAATCTTACCCCCCAAAAAAAACTTGACCTAGATATTTATATGATATACCTGTATACTAAATTTTATTTCAGTACGTGCGGCAATTGTGAAGAAAATGAACGGATACTAAATGGACCGACAGACAGAAGCAAAGCAATATGCCCTCCCTTCATCGAAGGGATAACATCGAAAGTGTCTTTTTTCAGGTTTTTAATGTCATAAACAGCTGAAATATGTGTTATCTTTCTCTGTCAATATATTGTCTCATGAACCTGATTTTAGGAAACTTTAAATTGACATATATATCACTGTTGTGCATCTTTATGCCGTTCTGGAAGACTTTATGCCATGCTATTTTTTCTACAATAAATGCTATAACCTGTATGTGTCCATATAAAGTGTTTCTTTATATACTCTGCTGAATGCATGTTCACAAACATCACATATGTGAGGTTTTTCACCTGTATGTATCATCATATGGTCCATCAAAGTATTAACCTCAGAGAAAGACCTTTCGGACACATCACATTAATAAGGTTTATCACCTGTATGTCTCTTCATGTGTTTCTGTAAGTCCTCCGAGCACCTGAATGCCTTCCGACACTTGTCACATTTGTAAGATTTTTCACAAGTATGTGTCCTCATGTGTACCTGTAGTTTTCCTGCCAAGTTGAAAGCCTTTCCACATGGATCGCACTTATATAATTTATCACCCGAATGTTTCCTCATGTGTTCCTGTAAATGATCAACTCGATTAAATGCCTTCTCACAAACTTCACATTTGTAAGGTTTATCTCCTGTGTGTGTCCTCATGTGAATCTGTAAATTTGATGACTGGCTGAATGCCTTCTCACATACTTCACACTTAAAAGGTTTGTCACCTGTATGTGTCCTCATGTGTCTCTGTAAGTCAGCTGACCGACTGAATGCCTTTCCACACACATCACATTTATAAGGTTTATCACCTGTATGTATCATAATGTGGGCCTTTAAGTTGTTTGATTGAGAAAAAGATTTTCCACAAACGTCACATTTATGAGGTTTATTTCCTGTATGTGTCCGCATGTGTCTCTTTAAAACTGTAAATTCCATAAAACTTTTTTCACAAACACCACATTTATAAGGTTTATTACCTGTATGTGTCTTAATGTGTTTCTTTAAAACCATAGATTCAATGAAATTTTCCCCGCACAAACTACATTTATAAGGTTTATAACCTGTATGTATCCTTATATGTGTCTTCAAGGTATAAAGTCGTTTGAAGTGTTTTTCACACAAATCACATTTGTGTGTATTCAAGGTATGTGTCCTCTTAGTTTTGTGTAAGGCACCTGATTGGTTGAATGTCTTTTCACAATCATCACAGATAACAGGTTCTTCACCAGTTTGTGTCAGAGAAAGAGATACACAGAATTCGTTCCCACACAATTCACATTTTAAAATTTTATCACTGCTTTGTGCCCCAGTATGTCTCTGTGATTGATATGTTGAGTCTTCCCTACTGTTAAATAAACCAGGCTTAGTACTTACACGTGTAGAGATATGTCTATCTACATTCCCCGTCTCATTTTCTTCTGAACAGCAGCTCTTCAAATTTTCTGTATTTCTCTGACTGGATTCAAACTGCCCCCTTTCCTTCTGCAACATTGACCAAAAAATCAGTTTGAATGCTCAACATGGCACTATTTTCACACAAAGACTAAATGATACATGCATTCAAGATTTTTTAAAATTTCAAAAACCTGGTCAAAATCCATAGCCAAAAGGCTTGAATTTTACATTACTTGAAGATTCATATCAATATAACATAAAACTTTCCTGTTCTTTAGCAGGTTTAGAAAGATACATGCACTGTAAAAAAAATCCTATTGTGGCCTCTCCCTATCAGGTAGTTCCCTAGGGGTCATGATTGGAACAAATTAAATCTTAAATGCATGAATTATTATCTCCCCTTTGAAGAAGGTCTGTTCCTGCTTTTGAACAAACTTGAATCCCCTCCATGTAGGGATAAACTGTGGTTGAAATGGGCCTGTTATTTTGGAGGAGAATATGAAAATGTGTACACTACACTGACGCAAACAACGATGACAAATAATGGACAAAGATGGAGTGCACTTGTGGGCCCCGGTAAAATGTGAAAAAAATAAAAAAATCAAATTATGTAAACTTTTTCATCCCAAATCATTAATTGATATCTAAACTGTACGATTCAACAAAATAAACAAAGAACAAAACCATAAGATATGGCAGGGGTCAGTTGACGTTTGTGATTTTCTACAGTAAATCGAGTACGGTCAATCATTTCAAAGCTTTTGTTTACTATGAGCCTAACTTTTTACAAACTTCTGCTAGTGACAAAAGACGCATAATACATGCATAACACTTGTGTGAAAGTAGGAAATTTGCACACAATAAGGCTGGTACTTAAAATATAAATCAAAGGCCCGAAGGGCCACAATGGCGTCGTGCTTTAGATATGACAGTGATACTGTGAAAGTTTTGGATTTTTAAGCATGTTTAAAAGTATGCATATGTCTACAGAATCTTATGAGTTTAGTTGTTTATCTAGAATACCCCGTTTTAAGCATTTATGAAATAAAAGCATTAAAAATGGATAGAGCCTTTTCAGGACCCAAATAAGGAAGTGCAATGAAACACTGGAAAAGACTATTTAAGCCCAAGTTCTACAAGTAAATCATAACAAATATTTGCTTTCTTAAAAAGCTTGTCTGACATGAGCTAAATTTTTTATTATATGGAGAACTTAAAAAAAATGAATTCAGTATGATCAACATAATTCTGAGTTCAGAAATAAATTATTCTGCTAATAATAATAATAATAATAATAATAATAATAATTAAATCCAGTTGTACCTACCGGGTTCATGAAATAAAGCTTGGAGATAAATTTTTTCTACATAGACTTATACTGTATTACTTGTAATTTTCTTTTTTTTAATGGCAGTAAGAAACATGAAGAGGAAGGAACCCCTCATTTTTGCCTATATAGAACTATATACGTTTATGCTATAGAAAACATAGCTACTTTATGCCTGTGTCCTAAATGTCATGTTAACAACAACATATTTATATTAACTTATTTGCTTGAAAAAAATTGCTAGTTAGACCCCCCACCCCCCACCCCTCCCCGAAATGTTTGGTTGTGCACCCCTTCCCCGTGAAATTTCTTCTTATTAGCCTTTTCCCAGATACTAGATAAAACCAGTGCTTATAAAATTTTGAGAGGAAAAGTTGCATCACACATTTTAAAAATCTAAACATTATTTGGTGAACAGTTTGGAGAATTATAATTTATGTTTTTATGTATTTCTTATTAAAATACATTGTAATATACTTGTTATAAATGAGATAACATCTTTCTAATTACAAACACAGAAAAAGTTCATCAACTATCATCATTTTTCTCTTGAAATGTTTTAACTATGACTAAATCAAACGTCTGCAAAGTTAGGAATATGTGTAATTCTAAAGGCAGAAAGACTGTATGCAGTTAAAATAAACATCTATTAGTACTAGTTAATCTGATAACGTTGACCTGAAAGGCTTTATTGGATGTAGATGATTGATTTTGATGCATAACAGATTGGCCAAATGTAACGTGATAATAATTGGGTTTAATGCTTTGGTTTGTTTGGGTGTTTAGCATGGTTCTATTAATCCCCATGGTTAAGATAGGATAATATGAATTAAGTTTCCAAGATGAGTTATCACAAAAGTTCTACTGAAAGACTTGACCCACAAGCATATTGGCTAAATCTAGTACTGTATGACGCCAGACAAACGTCCAAAAAGTTCAAAATGAAATAAATGACTAACATGCATATTCAGAATGTAATTTTAAATAGAATGCAAAAAAATTGCTTATATTTTCCTACGCCAGATACATGAAGGCCTTGGTTCAAGCACTATATTATTTTGCGCCTGAAGAAAGCAGTGAGCAGTCAGAGATTTTCCCCATAGCTAGATGAGCGCCGAGTTAAAGCTTGCCGCCAAAAAATGTTCAAAACGTACAAAGTTTTTCCTATAGCACTGAAAGCCACCTTAACATTCCTTTTTTATTTCAAATTCAATGAAATTATTATTGTATTTTTTTTTTATTGCAAGAGTACCAATTTCTAAGTTTGATCAATATGGCTCCAAGATCACACAACTTCATTCAATTTTTTAAAACAAATTTGGCACAAAAAGTAACACTCCTACTAAGATTCACCATCTGATTAGATTGTTCAAGAGTCGATTGAAATATATATTCCCCTTGATTTACATTAATGAAAGTCAAAGAAGATTCGGTACGACTTTTCTAGACTTAGGGAATCCATGGGCATTTAGAAATATTTAATTGTTTCAAATCCAGGCTGCTTTGGGTGTACTTTTCCTTAGGTTCAGATGAGCTTTAAAAAATAAAAATTGTATAGTACAATTTATTTTGGAAATCAAAAACATAAGTCTTTTTGTTTAATTCAACCAAAAAAATAAGAGGCATAAAAATAAAAATAAAATTCAGCATTCAGAAATAATTGTATTATAAATTTTACATCTTTTATTTACTGTATACAGGGAAATTATCGCCCCCGTTTTATTTTCGTCCCTTTCGCCCTCTTTTTGATTGGACGAATTTAAAACGGGGCGAATTCAAATTATACCTCATAATTTTTTAAACAGAAATATGATTGGGCGAATTTAAATGGGGCAAAATTATTCACAAGTTCAAAAGGGCGAAAATAACACGGGGCGAAAATAATCCTGTATACAGTATTCATTTCTTCGTTCATGTTTAATAGTATCATCAATCAAATTTACAAAATATAACAATTATATTGTACAGATTTTGGACATCACCAGAAAAATATCAAGTTTCCTTGAATTATATTTCAAATTATTGAGTTACTTCCTTTATACATGTAGTAATTTGGCTGACCAAATTGACCATATACTCCTCAGATGAGTAGATAGGATGAATACCTTACCATGCATCATTTTATTCCTCAATTGTACATTTGATACCATATTAAAAATAATGTTCATAGAAAATTCCTTTCTCAGGATTTTTTCTGTCATGATTATAAATTACTGGAAAATATGTGTTATCTATCTCTGTGTATATATTGTCTGATGAACCTGATTTCAGGAAACTTTAAATTGACATATGCATCACTGCTGTGCATCTTAATGTCGTTCTTAAAGACTTTATGCCATCCTATATTTTTTACGAATACATGCTGTCACCTGTACATGTGTTTCGTTATATGCTCTGCTGAAAACATGTCCACGTACATTACATTTGTAAGGTTTTTCCCCGGTATGCATTGTCTATGGTCCTTTAAAGTATTAACATCAGAAGAAGACCTTTCGTACATATCAAGTTTTAATACAGTAAAACTTCTCCAAACCGGCCAGCTGCCGGACTGAATAAAATGGCCGGACTAGAGGGGTGGCCGGTTTCCTGAGAATCTAACAAACTGGAGAAATGCAGAACTATGTGACAGATGCTAGGGAAAATATATAATTGGTGTCTACATGTTATTAATTATCGGTGTCTACATGTTATTAATTATCGGCAGACACGTAATGTTTTCTTATAGTCTAGAAAAATGAAAATTATTATTAGAAAGGATAAATTCTACATACTTGTTGATTTTTATGAAAAGAAATTTAAAAAATAAGAATAGAAAAAAACATGGAAAGTTACTTTATTAACCATATGCGAAGAAATAAACCAGACCCTTTACCTTAACTGAACTCTATACAGTATACTGCATGTGTATCTGTGTTTCGCTTACGTCATTTAAAAATTTTTTTGTACTTCAGTAAAAAGTAAATAATTAAAACATTTATGAGCATAACTTCGGCTATTCTTATTATGAAATGTATGTTAGGATAAACATTTTATTTTATTTTTTATTCTTTAGCATTTTTTAACGATGCCCAATTTTAAGGCCACTTATGTATATTTAAAAAGATGATGCAATATGGCGTGCGATAATTTGTTAATTCATTCTTTGATTTAAATTTATTAGTTGCTTGATATTTTATTAATTCAAGTTTAATTAATGTTGATCATATGTACACAGCTTAGACCAGCCATTTACGCAGACTGGCAAGATGATTATCCCTTCAAGACGGTTAAACAATAGAGAACCCTATGAAGCCATATTCAGTTTTTCACACCTCTGACTTCTCATGGGTAGGCTGTTTTTCACACCTCCGGCCAGTCATTATAACCCCTCTGGCCAATGACAGTTAAATTTCTTGCAATCAAAAAGTGGCCGGTATGATGAGGGGAATTTTCCTATGTTTCTAAACTTTTGTTCTTGGAAAAGTGGCCGGTGTCCGGTTTTCAGGGGTGGCCGGTTTTATGAGAGTTTATGTGTAAAGAAATGTTAAGGAATTTGCCGGGACTTATAAATTTGGCCGATATTCAGGGAGAACCGGTTTCCAGGGGGGCCGGTTTGGAGAAGTTTCACTGTATAAGGTTTATCACTTGTTTGTCTCTTCACATGCTCTGCAAGTCCTCAAACTGCTTATATGCCTTCCAACACATGTCAAACTTGAAAGGTTTTTCATCAGTATGTGTTCTAATGTGCATCTGTACTTTACCTTCCAAATTGAATGCTTGCCCACACAGATCATACTTATTTAATTTATCACCTGTATGTGTCCTCAAGTGTTCCTGTATATTATTCGAATAAAAGCCATTTCAACAAAATCACATTAATTAGGCTTATCACCTGTATGTGTCCTCAGGTGTCTCTGTAAGGCCTGTCACTGGGTGAAAACCTTTGGACTTACATCACATTTGAAAGATTTATCACCAGTATGTATCCTCATGTGTCTCTTTAAGTCAGGTGACCGACTGAATGCCTTTCCACAAACATCACATTTATAAGGTTTATCACCAGTATGTATCCTCATGTGACTCTTTAAGTCACCTGACTGATTGAATGTCTTTCCACATACATCACATTTATGAGGTTTATCACCTGTATGTGTCCTCATGTGTCTCTTCAAAGAACCTGACTGTGTAAACGCCTTCCCACACACATCACATTTATACGGTTTATCACCTGTATGTGTCTTCATGTGACTCAGTAAGCATTGTGAATGGGTGAATGTCTTCTGACATACATCACATTTGAATGGTTTATCACCTGTATGTATCCTCATGTGTTTCTGTAAGTCACCTGACTGACTGAATTCCTTTCCACATATATCACATTTATAAGGTTTATCACCTGTGTGTGTCCTCCTGTGCCTCTTCAAGGAACCTGACTGTGTGAATGCCTTCCCACAATCATCACATTTATTAGGTTTATTTCCCATATGTGTCCGCATGTGTTTCTTTAAAACTGCTAATTCTATGAATGCCTTTTCACAAATACCACATTTATACGGTTTATCACCTGTATGTGTGTTCATGTGTTTCTTTAAAACTGCTAATTCCATGAAATTCTTCCCACACAAACCACAATTATAAGGGTTATAACCTGTATGTATCCTTATATGTATCTTCAAGGGATAAAATCGTTTGAAGCGTTTTTCACACACATCACATTTATAGCTTATATTACCAGTATGTGCCCTCTTATTTTTTTGAAAGGTGCCTGATTGGTTGAATGTCTTTTCACAATCGTCACAAATATCAGGTTCTTTACCATTTTGTGTCAGAGAAAGAGATACAGAGAATGCCTTCCCACACAATTCACACTTTAAAATTTTATCCCTGCTTTGTGCCCCAGTATGTCTCTGTGATTGATTTGTTGAATCTCCCCTACTGTTAAATAAACCAGGCTTAGTACTTACACTTGTAGAGATATCTCCTTCAACATTTTCTTCTGAACAGCAGTTCTTCAAATTTTCAGTATTTCTCTGATCGGATTCAAACTGCCCCCTTTCCTTCTGCAACATTGACCAGAAAATCAGTTTAAATGCTCAACATGGCACTATTTTCACTGTAGGATAAATAACATACACAAAGACTATATTATACATGCATTTAAGAGTTTTTAAAATTTCTAAAACTTAGACAAAATTGCCAAGAGGTGAAAATTGCTCACAGGTCTTGTCAATAACATTGATTTATATTTTCCAACAATATTTTTAGATATGAACTAATACAAAACCACATTAAACATATTATAAGTCAATACTATCTTTTACAATATGAAATTCCATGTCTACTCTTTTGATGCACAGCTCAATTGGAATTTTTTGATTTAAAAACATTTTTCATGAAACACAACTTGAATATTTTTTTTTCACATTTGAACAAGAAATTCCTAAATTTTCCATTTTTTTTCTCTCCCAAAACTGAACAAGAGGCCCATGGGCCTAGTATAAGTCACCTGAGTTTAATGCAACAACTTTAAAAAAATTGAATTTGATTCATGTTTTAAACCAGAGGCCATGAAATTCACAATTTTGAAAAGGGAATTAACAGCCATTCTCTGTAACCACTTAAACTTCGTTGCCACGCATGGTCATCGATTTTGATGAAACTTCACCTATGCTTAGTACTTGACACCAGAAACAAATATCATACAAAATTTCGTTGCTATGTGTCTCGGTTGCTAAGGCTCCGGAAAAGTTTGAAAAATCGAAATTTTAGCCACTTTAAATCTTGATTGTGGCTTAATAAAAACTAGAAAAAGCAAACAAACCATTCTTACAAAAACATGACACCTTTATGTCACTTATACTGTAAAGAAACTGTTTAGAATATATCTCTAAGTAACAAGGGTACATTTGGAATACATTTAAAACGCTGAAATATGAAAAACGCCCCGTAACTAATGGTATGTGTCAATCATTGAATTGCTAATGCTTTTCATACATGTAATTACACACTTGATCACTTTGCTCACTTTGGTTACTTAATACCCAGATGTACAGAGTATCAAAGAGAAAATACATTTTCGGGTAACATCTTTTAAATTTTAGAACTTTGATTTCTTAAATTTGATTTCATCATGTTTTTTATCAATACCAAAGTGCATATACAGTGGAGCCTCATTTATCTGGACGCTTTGGTTCCCAGTCAATTTGTCTAGATATATATGTCAAGTGTCCAGATACCTGAATCACCAATTAAACAAGACAATATAACATTTAAAAATTCCGTACAGATGGAAAAATCGTCTGGGTACTGAAGCATCCAGATATCTGGCGTCAGGATATCTGAAGGTCCACTGTATCAAAGAATTAAATTATTTTCACACTATGTAGCCCTGTGGGGATCCAGGTTAGAATAAGTCCTCAGTACCCCCTTGATTGTCGTAAAAGGAGACTAAATGGAGCAGTCCTTTGGATGAGACCGTATAAACCGAGGCCCCGTTTCATAGCAGGTGTGCAGCCCTTCACCGGCAATGGTGACGTCTCCATATCAGTGAAATATTCTGGAGTGGGACATTAAACAGTATACAATCAATCAATCAGGCTATGTAGACTACCCCTCCTACACATGCATGTGGTACCTCTGTCCCAGGGGCCAGGAAATTTAAAAAAAATTTGGAAGAAGCAGCTTTCTTTGTCATAAATATATACTGAGATCATTGGCATAATACCCAGGAACAAAGAAAAAGATTTTCATAGAATTCATGCATTTTGACTATGTAAACATTAGAGCCCCGCCCGTACACAAGAAGCCCTGACATCCTTCCTCTTCGTAACTATGTTTATAGTTCAATGATTAAATACCAAGGTGCAAAAAAGATGTTTTTAAAGAATTTAATGATAATATGCATTTTCACAATATAATCAAAAAAGCCCCACCTAACACCAGAACCCCAACCCATGGGCCATTTTATTCACAATAGGTACTAGTTGGTTTATTTAATGCTCAGGAGAAGAGAAGAAGATTTTCAAAGAAAATTCATGTTTTACTACAATTAAACTTGGTTATAACGAAGTCCTAGGGACCAGTGAATTTAATACTTAATTGCTATATCCATCATTTGTTGTGTCCCTATAACAAATTTGTATAACCATATAAAGCAAATTCACAATTTGCACGACTTTTTTTCCTTCAAATTTTTCTACCAAATATGTTAGGAAAGCAAACATTACTAACACATACCTTCGATAACAAAGGTTTTGTTTTGAATTGAATTTTTATTTTCATATACTAAACGAATATCAAGTCAATTCATTTTATCAAATTTTAAGATCTTTGAAAGTTCGTTAAAAAAAATGTAGATTTCACTATATTAAACCTCAAAGGGACTCAAAATCAGTTCGCTATATCTGTAAATTCGTTATATCAGAGTTCATTACAACTGTAAAATTTTACAATGATTTGCTTAAAATGTTGCGGGGAACCCAAAAGAACTTCACTGTTTCCGTGAATTCGCTATATCCGTGTTTGTACTAAACGAGTTTTACTGTATATAATCTATATAGCCCAGTCATAGCACTAGAACCCCTGACACTGGGGCCATGAAAATCTCAATTTTGGAAGAGGCAGTCATTTTCAACTCAACTATGAACTTGGTTAGTTTATTTAATGCCCATGAGCAGAAAAGAAGAATTTCAAAGAAATAATGCATTTTCACTATATAACCTATTTAGCCCCACCCTAGCACTAGAACCCCTGACCCTGGGGCCATGAATTTCAAAAAATTGGTAGTAAGAGGACAGAATGCTAATTACAATCATGCCAACAGTTTGACTGCTTGATGTCCAGGTGTAAAATGAAGATTTCTAAAAGTTGGAATAATTTTAGTGGTTTTTGCTCCACTCCCAGGGAAACAGGGACCATGAAATTCCAAATTTTTGTTCCACTTCACCCTAAGATGTAATATGCTAAATTTGGTTGAAATTGGTTCAGTGGTTTCAGAAAGCAGAAAATGTTCAAATGTTAGCGCATGACAGATGATGACAGACAAAAATGGCAAGCATCTTTAATTATCTGAAACCAAGATCTTTAATCACACAGCTGTTCTGGTAGTGTGCTGATCTTTCCATAGAATCGATGCAAATTTAGTCTAAGTAACATGAGTGAGGATCATAGTAATCATACCAGTCCTTCAAAATTTAAATTCATTTAAATTACAATGAAAATGTGTCAGGTTATCAAAGTAAATTAAATACAGTATTCAAGTCTTTGTTGATAGTATGTATCTCAACTTGTTTCCTGCAAAAAATTGATCAGAGCTTTGCAATAAAAACAACAGATACATTAAATAATGGAAACTCTTGGAAATCATGTGCACCATTTAAATACAGAAAAAAAAAATCTTTACCTTCACTATTACAAGTTCTTGGTTTTCCTCCTCCTCCACACAGTAAGAAATCCCAAGTGGCTCTTTCTTTACTACAACCAAGACAAGTAATGTGTAAGAATGCTACAACTTCTTTTGTAAAAAGAAATCCGTCAGGCGCTCAAACATATAAACTGAATAGTTCTAGGTTGAGGGAGATAACTCTAATGTTTTATACATAATGTCCAATAATGATCCAATATGAATAATGATCGTAGGGGTGCAGGAATGTTGCAGATAGTTGATTCAGATAAGTATGGCTATGAAAATAAACTATAAGAATGCTTAAATTTCTTTTTGAAAAAAGAGTTCCTCCAGGTGCTCAAACATATGTTTTAATGTCCGAAAATGAGCATAGGGGTCCAAGCACATGGCAAATAGTTGATGCAAGTAGGTATAGCTATTAAAATACTGTAGAAGTACTTATTTCCATGTGGAAATAATTTAGTACGCTTTGTATGCGATCAAAAATTTTCCACAGAAATATGTCCAAGCATACTTAATGAAAATGTAAGGCATATGGTGACAGTATAAGAAATCTGTGTAATATACCCATGGATTACACAGAAATTGAGATTCCATGGAATTATGACCCCATGGAAAAAGGTTTGTCTACTGTAAACTGTAAGAATGCTTTAAGTTGAATCAATCATGTCAACTGTCACTGAACATGCTGAAGGGTACTAGTAATAGGGGAACCTTGGAGAGTCTAGCAGCTACAGGTACACACAGTGTCATGTAGGATTTAGTATATGTTTGACCCAGGTCCTGTTAGTGTTATAAGTCTATACATGTAACATAGTTTGGCCTAATTCCTAATTATTTACTGACAGACAGATGGACAGACGGGTAGCTAGAAAGATGGACAATGAACACCTAATTATCACATAAGCTGTTCTGTTCTCTGACTAGTAGAGCTAAAAACATAAAACTGGGTTTGGGAATGCCTAACAACAATAACAATTTTAAAACAGTTTTCGTATTCAATATATTTGTGTTCAACAGTATTAGAAATATCTTCATTTACATATAATTATACTCACTAGTGGTCTCAGTATCAAATCTGTAGTTTTCAGTATAAGGAAACTCTGACGTCATGACCTTGTTATGTAGCTCTGACATCATAAACTAATTATTGCTTTAGTCTGAAACCTGCAATGAAGTAAACAAATAATTAATTTGCATTATTCTCAAAAAACAAGAGGCCCATGGGCCACATCGCTCACCTGAAAAGCTTTGACCATGTGATTCTTAACCAGATTTCCCCTTGTAATACCTTTTATGACCCCATCGTACCTCAAGGGTCTTAATTTGGACAATTCAAATTCCCTATTGTGGCCCCACCCAACCCCTGGGGGTCATGATTTGAACAATTTAGAATCTACACTACCCAAGGATGCTTCCACATAAGTTTCAGCTTTTCTGGCCCAGTGGTTCTTGCAAAGAAGATTTTTCCTATATATTTCTATCAGGCTTGGGGCGAATTACATTTTAAGTAATTGCATTACCATTACTTCAACAATTTGGGCATTAAATTACCATTACCATTACTCTATTTTCTTAAAGTAATGCATTATCATTACCTTTACTTTAGTAAAGTAATGCATTACCATTACCATTACTTTTGGAGATTTTTAAAAA